TTTCGACCAATTGACCGTTTTTTTGCTCCGATTTAGCCATGAGTGTGCTTAAAATTGAATTTCGAGTAAAAAGAATTTTTTTTACCTTTTTTGGCGGTCGAAAAAAGCTCCGGTGCGGCGGCAGGTGGCGGCGGTGTCCTTCCGGCGATCGGGTCTTTTTCTCTAGCGAGGGGTTCTGGCAGCTAAAGTTAGGGTTTGGTGTGGATGGGGGTTATTTATATTCGTCTACTTTTGATCTGAGTCGTCCATCACGTTTGATCTGGACCGTCCGATCGCGATTAAATAGGAAGTGAATGCTCATCGCGATCCAATATGGACCGTACATCGCAATTCACTATGGGACGACCGATCGTGTTCAAATCTGACTGTCTGATCGCGTTTGGGGAGGAAACGCATATGGGCCGTCCGTGCGCGCGGGAACGGATCTGGACTGTTCGATCGCGAGCACGCGGATCCCCCGCATGGCCTCCCACGTGGCACCGTGTCAGCGTCTGCTGCTACGCGACGCGTCCTGATTCACCGGGCCTGCTAACCGGGCGTCTGACGTGGTGAAACTTCCTTAAATTGCATTTTGACCCATGTTTTCTGATTTTTCTTTCAAAAATACCATAAGAACCTAAATTTTCACCCATTTTCTCTAAAATTATTTTCAATTTAATACTCAATCAATTTTACTTCATTTTTATTCTAAATTAAATGAAAAATAAAAAAAAATATGTATTTATAAATTTTAAATTACGTACAATTTATTTTGGGGTATTACAATTAAACTAAAAATATTTTTTACCAAAATATCTACATATTCTTTTTGTTAATAATATAAAAAAATAAAAGTATATATGTTGATGTGGCTAGAGATATTTTATATTTATATTTATCTTGGGGAATAATTTATAATTATCTTACAAATTATTTTATGTATGTCTTAAAAATTTTTGTGAGATGAAAACTCTTATAGTTACTCTATATATAGGTTTGTAAATTTATTAGTGATCTAGTCTCGTTTGATTATAATGCAATAGTTTTTTCTTGTTCATGTTTGTTGAATGTAGAGACACTTGCACAATTACATTAAATTAATTTTTTCATATATATATATATATATACACACACCAAAATCACACTTAAATAGCTGTAAACAAAGGTAAAGTAATTCCATTGAGAAAAAGAAAAGGGAAGACCAAGCAGCATCATCATAACAAAAGTAAGAGTGTGCAAACAATTAATTGGATCAATTTATTTTAAAAATTATATATATTTAAAAAGAGTTTAATTAATGAAACCGATTGAAGTAATTTTATAACCCAAATACTGAACTAATTGACTTAATTAACTAAGTTTAGTTAAATTGAAAAAAAATTAAATTAAATACAACATTTAAATTTTTAGTGCATACAGAACATGAAAAGATTTTGTTTTGAATTTCAAGGTTGCTTCAACAATGAGTAAGGTATTTGGTTATTAGTCAGATGCTAGTAACCTTCAGGCCTACTTTTATAATTTGATTTGAAATCTTTCTTAATTATTTTTGGAATACGTTAAATAGTTTGAAACTATATTAGAAAAATTGAAAAAAAAAAAAAAAAAAATTCAAACTTTCTTTTATTTAATATGATAAATAAAAAAACCACACCATTGAAAAATAAAAAATCAAAATTCCCAATACGATTAAAACTAAATGAAATTAAACAGTATTTTTTTTCTTATTTATTATTATTTTTTTTAATTGGGGAGTTGGTTTCTACTC